TGAAATCAGGCTGCTTATGTTCTCTACCGCCTGATTGTGCATCCTGGGTCAGACTGGTATGACAGCTGCATGGGTGGCCGTCCCCAGGCCCAGCATTAGCCCAGCGCTCTCAAGCATTCGGTTCATATGGGTTAGAAAAACCCGACTTTATGCCATTCTCGTTCAATCCCTCACCATCTAATTAAATTTAGTTAAGTATTTCTAAGGTGCTTACCATGGGTTATTATAAAGTACATGATAGAAGCAGATTAAACTGTTGTAACGAGGTGTAACAAGGAAAGAAAGTACTCCTCTGGTTTTTAAATTTTTTTTCTTTCCCCTCGCCCCCGGTTTAGTTTTTAACAAAACCTCTTAAAGCCATGTGTGTGTATCATTTTTGTTGTCAATCGCATATATGCTGCGTTTCCTTGACTTCTGTTTCAGAGCACGTGGAATGTAACTTCCTTTTCTCGGTGACGTGGAATTATATACGAGGCTCTAACGCTCAAGGAATAGTGTCATGTGAAGGCTGTTGGCCCGGCTTATATCAAATGCTCCTAGAATAATGCTTTTCAAAAAAAAAAAAATAATAATAATAATCCCAGGCTGTCTGCTTCTTAATTTTCAAAATCTCCTGTTGGCCTATTAGTCATTGCTTCTTTCTGCTTTAAGTGTTAAGCTTTTTAAATGTACTGCTTGTACTCCGTTGTGGCTGTAATGTCGGAAGACTAAGCAAGTTGGCCATTCCCTGATGCAGGAACGGGCCTTGGATGAGAACTGAGCGACTCTTGCTAGAACCTGGCAAACTGACTGGTGCCCAGACACTATGTAATGACAGGGACAGCATGTATTGGCTCTTGCTGCCCCAGCTTCCTAAATAAAATAGACTAGTGCCCCCTACCAGCCTAGCAGGGTAAGGCAGAGGCTTGTTATGAAATGCTCCGTTTCTCAAAAGACAAAATGATTTTGAAATATGATGTGTTAATTTTTAACATAAACAAAAAGCCCTTCAGGTAAGAGGATATGACTGGCTCCATCCCCAGTACGTGTGAGCTGTCAGAGCTGCAGCCACGTGGTAATGAGTGGAGATGAACCAATGGGGCGACCTCGCCCGCTGGACTGACACACACCAAGAGCTGCGCTGGTCAGGGCTACGACCGGAAAATGTCACGTCGCTGCATATCTGGCGGGTGGGGAAGGCCTGCCAATATGGCACCTACTCTCCAAAGCTCTTAACTCAAAATTCTCTTGGTCACCTAATCTGGCAAGTGAGGTCAATGCAAAAATACTCTCCCCTTACTTTTCATTTTTTAAACAGAATATAATTGGTTTATAACATAGTCTTTTATTAAAACTCTTTGAAACTCTGGGTTACTGAAATTCGATAACAATTAACTATACCTCAGTAGGCTACACTTTCAAAAAGAAAAATGTTTAGAATTCACAAATGGAATTTTTTCTGGCTATAAAAGCAAGAAAAAAAATATTTTAAATCCTCTAATTTTTTCCTGTAAAGGAAAATGAAAAGCTAATGTCTCATCTCATTTCTACCCCCTCATCCTGCCATGAAACTGGGGTGAATTTTTCCTTTGCTAGATGAATTCTTAAAGAAAGCTGGAGCAGTGAATTCCCACGATATCAAGATTTAATTTTGAAGGCATTAAATTATTAAGGCTCAAAGGTGGAATTACGAAGTGGAGTTCTGACTCATCACAGAGTATTTAAGGCCTTGGCGATACATCTTAGCAATCATTCAAAAGAAAATAATAAAATTTTCTAACTGTCTGGCTGCAAACTAGGTGATTATCAGAGGGAGATATAAACTTCGGCTAACATATAAATTTTCCTAACAGGTTTGACCCACAAAAAGCACTGGCTCCTTGCTTTTTATATTTTGTGGTCTAGACACTTTCGCAGAGCTCATTGGAATGTAATAATAGTTTGAGCTATGGAAACTATCTGCTGGTAAAAAACAAACAAACAAACAAAAACATAATGTAAAACATTAAAATCTTTCATTAAACAGCCAGTTGAGGAAAAGTCAACCATTCTTTTATCAACTTTAATCAAGTGTGAACGTGTTTTACAATTGTCACTTAATTTTTAATATTGCCTCCTAAGGAGCTACGACTCGGGTTGCTTTCCTCAGAAGAAAATAAGGTTCTCAACAGAACAAAGTCCGCTAGGGGTCTGATTTTACAGCCAAGTTCAGTCCTCAACGCGCAAAAAGCACCGGGACGAAAGAAAACACTCCATTCCGAAACGAAAAGCTACGGTTGACATTTTTTCCACTGGATTTTTCTATTGAAACTGTTGTCATTTTAGTTCTATGAAGCATAAAAATCACATCTGTATCCAATATATCCACATGCAGAGCCAGTGAAGATAATTCAGGAATATTTAATTTTCTGTGGAACTTACTGGTGATGTTATGATTCAGTAGTAAAAGAAAAAAAAGTGCCTGTGAAGGCAACAAAGCTTCTAGAACCCATAGTGCTCAAGTCCGTCAAAAAGATGTTATAAACAAATACTGTAAACAGAACATAATTTGGGGACCAAAATGTCTGAAAACCATTATCCTAAGGTTAGTGGCAAAGTCCGAATGAATGTGTGTTCACAAAATCTGTTTGAAGAACAAACAGTGTGCTACGCACGCAAGACAATATTATTTTGGGTATAAACGTTTAGGGGCATAGGAAGAGTAGCTTCTTTAAACAAATAGATTCCTTAAACTCCGCAGCCCTTATATAATGTCTTGAAACAGGTGTACCCTTTCGCAGACATGGTAAATACATATTTCACAAATCTAGGAAGGGGACGAAAGGAGGGGTGAAGGACTCCAAGGAGAATCAAAAAGAACTCCTAAGTATTTAGGGAGGCTTAGGACTGGAACCCGGGCCTCACGTCTACAATTCAAAACCCAGAACAGGATCAGGTTCTACTGTGGCATCGAGGCTTTTCATAAATGCTTTCTCGGAGAACTCATTTTCATTCTCATCTCCTACAGTGGATTCCAGACTGAGCTAACGCAATTTACAGCACGTTATTTCTCTTCATCTTACCCAGAGGGGATAGGACCTGTGATACAGTGAGAGTGGCCGCGTGATGCCTTCCTTCCTGTCTCTAAACTGAGCCCACACCAAGTGGGAGACAGCAGATTAGCAAAACAGAGGCCACGCCCATGGCCAGGGGAGTATTTATAAAAGCAGCTGTCTCTGTCAGACAGAGGTGGTAAAAATCCGAAAGGCATTTCTATCTTTGCATTAGGGATTAGCAGATTCTCCCAGAGGGCTGGGATTGCCTTGGTTTCTCACACATTACATTTTTTTTTAGGGTAGTTGAGGGACCGGTTAATTCCGGGGTTACGGTGATGCTCTAAAATTTCTGGATAATAGCAAAGTGCACCAGAGAAACGTCTATGGTTCCTGCTTGGGTCTCTGGAACTCTGGGTTGCGAATGCTATTTTAGCTCAGGAATGTTCGGTGGCTCAACCTCTTGCGCAACTCAAGCAGCCACTTTTCTCTTAAAATGACACTCACAAAATGCTCTGGCCAGTATGGACCTGGCCATTTCTGTATGGCAAGTCCTGTGCACAAAAATGCATCCTCTTTATCAGAATGCAGCACCAATTTCATGACTGTCATTGGGGTATGAAAACATCAGCACACTGACTGTTCAAATAAAGCATCGTCTTAAACTCAATAATCCTGACTCCACATTTGGGGCTGATATAGAGGAAGATACTATTTCAAATCTGTAAAGTTTTTAACTATGGTTCAGTGGTGAATTTGCTTTTGGAGAAGTGGATGGAAAGAAATTTTACCAAATGTAGTAAAGCCTTATCTATAAATAAGCACAGGGAAGAAAAACATTTTTAGGATGCCTGAGTCAGCATGTTTACACGCCTTGATTATTTAGTTTGGGTCTAATTATATCTTGTGATCAAAATGCCAGGACTCTCCTGAGCTTCTGTATACTTCCCACCCCACCTTGCCCATTAATGTGCACATGTGCGAGACCACAAACTGGTAAAGATTATTGACTTATGTGTTCAAAACACCCAAATGCATTTGAGCATAAGTGTGGATTTCTGACAACTGCTAATTTAAGAAGTATGTTTCTGACATGTTTTCATTAGAGAATTCCTAAAGAGAAACCTCAAAACTAAAATGACAAATCATATATAAAAGTTTCATGCTTTGGAAGAAATATTTTGAATACTATTTTCTTTGCTTCTTTAAATTACTGATGTTCAGTGCCAATACTCCAAGAGTGGTTTTAAATCAAAAACAGAAATTAATATGTTCAACGTATACAACATTTAATATTTTTGGCTGCTTTATTAAAAACTTAAACTTAGGTGTACTCTTCCAATTTCTTTGGTTTGGAGATATGATTTGCTTTTCTGCCCTTGATCATGCCATCAACGCCCCCTGACTCAGTTCCCTGACAAAGCGTGGACATGCTTCCCGATGTCCTTACATTTCACATTATGTTCTCATCATACTCTACTGCAGGGGTTCCCAATCCTGGGCCGTGGACTGGTACCAGTCCATGGCCTGTCAGGAACCGGGCTGCACAGGAGGTGAACCAAGCTTCACCTGTATCTGCAGCTGCTCCCCAGCACTAGCATCACCACCTCAGCTCCATCTCAGATCATCAGGCATTAGATTCTCATAGGGGCACGGGTCCCTGGTGCCAAAAAGGTTGGGGACCGCTCGCTGTATACAGCAATTCTACTTAATAAGTTTGAAAAACAAAGGCTTTATATTCTTCCTGCTCAAGAATTACTCTTAATCTTTAACGACAGATGTATTCTCAACATAATAAAACATCTGACAATTAAAAAACATCTGACAACTATATTTCTGAAGCCGATATTACATACCAGGTAAAAGCTATGCTACTCTCCATTACTGCCCTCCGTCTCTGGATTTTCGGAACACACATTTGCAAATTCTTCTCCCTCTTCAAGTCAACACAAAAGCCAAATCAGACAGTTTAGAGTAGGCAATAAACAATTTTGGTTTTCAGGAACAAATCGCCAATATTTATTTGAAAAACACAACTTACTATAAGAGCATGAGTAAGAGTTAGGTGATTTTGGAAATAATACATTTTCTATTGTTAAGTGCACCAAATGCTTGACTTCTGAAACAACAGTTCTGCTTCGGCATTACAGGGTTTCCTATATATTTCTGTTCCTGATTCTTGTTCTTCTGATTTACCTGGAATCAATGAATCTAGGGGGAAAAAAGATTAAGAAGTTGATCAATTTAGGGTTCCACATTAGAAAACTATCAAACATCAGCACTTGAGTAATTAATGTCTTAAGTTTTTCTTTAGTTTACTCAGCTCAAGTTTCACGCTGAAGGATTATCTGGAAGATTCACATGCTGACAGCACATTTATTAATTTTCTGATTTCAAATTTGAGCAACTCCATAGCATAAACAGGTCGGCTCCAGCAACAATTTTAAAAATACTTAAGGATTTTGAAAAAGTAATTTGTAGCAGTACTCAGTGTCCAACAGAAACCACTCCATCTGTTAAACAATATCTCGACTGCAAAGGTTCTCTTACTGTTGATGGATAGGTAATGACATGGCAGTCATTATCACCGTGGCAACAGTACCCAAGAACTATCAGAGGAAAATTGCACATGGAACGGCTGGCTCTTGAGCAGTCATGCCTCAGCTTCCTCTGGAGTATGCTTTTTCTGCAAGTCTGGTGTGCTCCAGGGTACTACCAACCCAGGGCTGCTCCAAGACTGCAGATCACATAGCGATTTCAGAATCCCGCTCTCCCGAAATCATTCGTTCCAACAATACCAGCACCTGCCACCTTCCAAGCACTGTTCTAGGTATTGAGGATACAGCAGTGAACTAGGTCGAGTGCCTGGGCGTGAAATCAGTCAACAAGCTGATAAATATATGTCAAGGTGCACAAAGTACAATGGAAACAGAGAAAACAATGGGCCCAGGGAGGCTTCCTTTCTCTTCCCTGTTCACAACCCCCCCCCCGCGC